GCAGCATTGTGTAGCATTCTTTCAGACCTCTGTTTTAAGGAAGCCTAAGAGGAAAGGTAACTGAGAGCTTGCAACAACTAACAAAAAGGAAAATGCAATTATGAAAAATTAGCATGATAAATTAAAGAAGTGGGATGGAGCTAATTAAGAAGTAGTAGCAAGAGTACGTGTACAGCAGAAGCTGCACTCCCAACAGTGCAGTTGTGCTCAGAGAGGGGGTAAAGTCTATACCAGAGCAACCCTGAGCTCTGTGAGCCTGTAGAGGAGCACAGTGGAAAACAGCTTTTAATGTTTTCAGAAATGAATTTGTTCCTCCCAGCAGGGAGGACAAACAGTAATGCTTCCACAGGTAGATTGGCTGTGAATTAAAACTCTCATTTACTGCACGTCAGCATGAAGAACTGAAAGGATTTGTTGCAGAAAACTTTTCTTCAGACAGAGCACTCAGTTTTTGTTCTCTGTTCTTTCTCTTGAAGATTGCGCTTTCTTCAGAGTTACTGGGACAAGAGCAAAACCTGATGTATTAAGAAAAAGAAATCTCTATCATTAATATTTACTATCCTCCTGTAATAACGTCTCAGGGCAAACTGTCAACAGGAGGTAATTGTTGCTTTATCACATGATGCTGACATAAAATTATACAACACAAAACTGAGTTTTGTACTGCAATGGCTAACAAAAGCTTAAGTGCTTTAATCTTAATTTACAGCATTACATGGTTTAGAAAGCTGCACAATACGGATTAAATGCAGAGGTAGTATTTGAGTGAGTCAAGTGTAAGAATAACAATTGAATTCAAGAATTGAATTATAATAGCCAATGGGTGCAGAGAGCAACTTTTATACACAGATCTTCAGACTGTGCTGGGAGCTGGTCTTGTGTTCCTGTGCGCTGTGAGTAGGAGGGCATCCCAGGAGCAAGGCGCGTGGCTCCCCTTTCCAGCCCCTCGTGAGCTCCGGGCCACGCTCTCTGCCCTGTTTCGTCCCCTGGCAAGGTACTTTGCTCCTGGTTTGGTGCAGCCCTTCCAGCACCCTCCTCTGCCTTTCCCCCCGGGGACTCTTCAGAAGACAAAGCCACAGGCGCCGATGTGGGTTCCTGTGGTCCGTGCGCAGCTCAAAACCCACGTCTCTTCCTTCAGCGTTTCTCTGAAGGCTGCCTATGGGTGTGATGATGCTACTGCCAGTACGCCCTTCGAGGTTGTCTCCCTGGTGCCTCGTGCTCCTGTCTGTGTGCCTCTTGTCTGAAAAGCAGATTGCCAGCTATTGGAGGCAGAAACTGTGAGCAGAGCTGGCAGGCTCTGTGATAATGCAAATAAATAACCGAAAGGAGAGAGCTGCAGGCAGGCGAGCCCCAGGGACTGAGCAGCAGCCACAAAAAGACAGGGATATAGGCAGTTAAGCTTAAACTTCTGCCAAAGAAGCAAAGAGACGTAAGGGACCCTGCCAGGCTCTGCCCTGTAGACACCGGTATGGGAAATCAGTGCTGAGAATTCACCATATTTTTTTCCCCTTGTGGATCATCTGGCCACAGACTGTCCTCTAAGTGGTTTTTGCTCAACTGCAGCTGCTTGCATGTGTGTTAGATGTAGATCAAGGCCACACTGTTTGCTGTAGAAACAGCCCTCTGGCTTTTTCGTGTTGCATAAAATGGTTGTGCAGTGCTCCTTAGGTCAAAGGTGGAGGAGCACAGAGACTGCCAAGCCTTTCGTATTGCATTTAACCCTTTTGCCTGTTTAAAAGCAGACCATGACTTTCAAAGCAGTGCCACAACTTCTTCTGCCCTTCCTACCTCTGCTGTATCTTTATCTTATTCTTTCCACATGGGCATTTTTCCTTCCCTTCCTTCTGCATCCCTGTTCCTAGGATCAGAGGAGTGTTTCTCTTTGGGGAGTCTCTGGAAGCTGCTGCTCTGGTTACAAGTAGTTGGACAGATAAGTGCTTTGGATTGCTGGCTTCTGCTTTAGCCCATGATTTGCTCTGTTGGTGGGTGGTAAAGCATCTTCTGTCTATTTTGTTTAAGCTGCAGGAGTCAGGAGTCATTGAGATGAGCTCTGTCGCCTGTGACTGTTTATTTTGTAGTTGCTTGGAAGCAAGAGGAAAAGCTCCTCTTGATCTTTTCACTCGAGCACCCGTTTTTGGGCAGGTAGGGAGATTCGGGAAGGGATCTCTACACTCTGGGCAGCTCAGCCATTGCTCTGGGTGTTGGAGCTTTGAGCTGAATACGCGATGAGGAAACCTGCCTCTCCGCTTGCTGTTAGTGGGTGTGAAATCCAAGGAGTGATGTTTTTGTTGTGGGTATGTTGAATCGGCTTGATTGAATCATCTTTATTCACTTTTCCTAGCAAGCATGAACCAGGTATTAATGAAATGAGAAATATTAGTGATAGTGAGAAGAGGTCCTGAGAAGCTTTCTGTCTACACAGAAATGGAGTAGTAGAAGGTAGGTTTGGTAGTGAAAACATTATTATTTTTTTTTTTCTTTTATTATGCTAGGCCAGTATAGGATTCACAGAGTTAGCTATCTAAGGGAAAAATCAGGTGAGACTCTGACTGTATTCAAGTCCATAATTAAGACTTTTCTCCAAATTTTGTTTTCATCTGTGAGAAAACAGCTGTAGTTTATTAAATTATGGGCTGTAGTCTAATATTTCTACACTCATCAAAAAAAATTCAATTCAGTAAAGTCCTGATGACACTTGACAGCAGTGCTGCAGCCTTTTGGGGGGCCTGAACCAGTAGCTTTCAGGAGTTGTTCAGTGCTCTAGTTTTGGTAAAAAGAGATGGATTTAGGTTCTCAGTCCTGCTTGTTTCTCAGCCACAAGCCAGGTTTGCTCTTAAACTTAGACTCTCTAGCCTTACGAGTGATGGAGTGATAAATTTTTAAAACTTCCTTGTTGGCAGCAGCTACATTGGCATTTCAGCTCCGGCTTCTTAATTCAGTGATGGTGATTTTTAACTACCAAAGGGCTTGTGATCAGAAAATGGCAACTAGCCCATACCAGTGTACAGTCAGAAAAATACATAGTGCGGTCATGCCGGTTACGCAGAACAGGAAACTAGTGATGAGTAGAGGAGAAGGAACTGCTGGTGTTTAGTCTGAAACAGCTGCAGGGCTCAGCAGGATGAAAGCACAGCTTATCCAGGTCTGTCCAAGATAAAGCAATACTTTATACTTAATGTAGTTTGGCCAATCAGCCAGGAAACACTGCATAAAAGTTGTCATTGGTTCTTAAATGTAAGCAATGATGAAATCCCTTCACAGAGAATGGATATCACTCGCTAATGGATTTTGCTGCCCCAAAGAATAATGACATTTAGTTCATTCATGCCCATGGTGTTGTGTCATCGTTAGAAAAACGCTGGAGGAAGGACTTTCTTTTGTGAAATGTCTGGCATTCATAGACATTAATTTTAGGCAGTTGGATGATGGGTTTTGCATTTTGTGTACTTTAACTGCTTACTAGCTAGGACACAGCTTTTCTTCTTGAGTGAGGAAGTTTTCTTGCATCTGGCTGAATTTCTTTAAACAAACAATTAGGGAAACCTAACATACCGCAGAACATGCTAGTCTGACTGAATTGAAGAAGATGCAAACAAGTCGTTATGGCTGTTCTTGGTAATCTTCTTAGTATAGGGAGAAAAATAACTACTTGGTAGAAATTTCGGGATTAGAGGAAATCTAATGGATGAACAAGCACCATACATAAAAAGCACAACTTTCAGCCCACTGCTAGAAGGTAACAGCACCATTACCAGCTTTTTTTGTCAAGGTGCCAGGTTGAATAAAGGGTTTTACAGTGCAGGACAAATAAATAGAATTAATGGGATTTGGAAGGCTGTATTCATTTTCTGGTTAAACTGATTTTGTTTAAGCAAAAACTACTTCTCATAATTCTTCCTGTTCTTCTGAGTAAAATTTTAAAGAAAACAGAAAGTAAATTTTGATACCTATGAGCTGCCCTGGTGTTTAGCTCCTTCTTACATACCTTGTAGGAGGGAGGTCTGTCATTTTTTCAGCCAGGCCCATAAGAGAGCACTGTAGCCAGCAACACGTTAGGCATTTTGATTAACTCTTTTGTCATTGTGCAAAGACCCATCATGTGTGCAGGGACTGTAATGTGACTTTTAATTTCCTAAAGGAAGCCCTTCGCTGCTTAGATAAAGAGTGGTCCTCAGAGGAGAGACAACTAGGAACATGAGAGACAATCAGACAGGCAAAGCATCTCCTCTGAGCTTTTTACTTCTAGCCTGAGGCACGGGGTCTCTGGGGAGTTGAGGCTTTTACTCCTGCGTCCCTAGAAATGTGCTTTCCTTCTGCAGCCATCGATCACCTGTTTAGGGGATCCCAGTGTTACCCACACACTGGGTGCAGGTACTTCCACCTGTTAGTTTGGGGCTGACTCTGGAATCCCTTCGTTATGAGCGCAGCTTACTGAGCTGGCAATATTATTTTTCTGCTATGTCATAATCTGACCAAATAAGCAGGTGCAGTGTGAAATTATTATTTTTAATTCTTTTTTGAGGCAAAAAAAATCAATGTAGGAAAAATACAGAGGAAAAAAAGGCAAAAGTGTTTATGATGAATGACTAAATTAAGCAGAATGAGGGCTAGCTGAACAAAAACTCAAAAGTGGAGGCTAAGGACTTGGAAAGAGTAAATATAAACAGTAGGTTGAGGTGCTCGAATGTTTTGCAAACTCTGTGTGCAAACAAAGGATGTAGAAGGAATAGAGAGATTGAAATGAGGATTTAGGCCATTATCGTATGAAATAAGCCTTTCCTAAGAAAAACCACAAGATAGCTCCAAGTTTAGATAGAACACTGCACAGTGGGCAGTGGGAGACAATCGGTAGCAGAAGGTTGGATGGATGAGGATGTCTTCTCCTCCTAATCCTGGTATCTAGGAGTAAGGAGTGACCATGATAACCATTACTACATGTGTTGCACTCGGTGCTAAGCTGAACATTTGCTAAACTTGTGTCTTTCTGTTTTTATTTCTAGGCCTCTTCCTTATTTTAGGCTTGATACTTTACCCTGCCGGTTGGGGATGCCAGAAAGCAATAAGCTATTGTGGACCTTATGCTTCTGCTTACAAACTAGGAGACTGCTCCTTGGGCTGGGCTTTCTACACAGCTATTGGTGGCACTATTCTGACGTTCATCTGTGCGGTCTTCTCGGCGCAAGCTGAAATAGCCACATCCAGTGACAAAGTGCAAGAAGAAATAGAAGAAGGAAAAAACCTTATCTGCCTCCTTTAACTCCAGCGGGGAACAAACACCAGTGCCTGGATCTTACTCTGCTTTCCATTGACTGGAGAAGCAGATCCGCTTACCTGTTTCCACCATTTGTGTGACTGAGCCCCATGCATTCCAGCCCCGAACTACTGAAATGGTCTTTCTTCCTTTGCTGGGCAATGAGGATCAGAGGAAGGATCCAGAGAAAGCAGAATGTAAATACTTGGGGATATTTTTAGTTTCATTCTATGATCAGGACATAGTGGAATATATTAATCTGACTGGGGAGGTGAGGAATGACGTGTATATAGCAGGAATGTTGTTGTTATAGCTGACAAATTCTGATTGATCGGATTGCCTTACCCACCTTGGTCACTTTGAAGAATTCGGATTTAAAATTTTAAGAGCCAGCACATACTATTTTTATTTTTTTTTTTTCTTATACAAAAGAGAAGCCTATTTTAATTAGGCTTTGTTTCTAAGGGCTCCCCTCACCTGTGAATATTCCACCACCACCTGGTTTGGTACCATACTTTTCATTGAGGTGCTTTTTGATACTGAACTGACCTGATAGTACAGTGCCTTCTCAGACAGTAAGTATACCTTGGAGAGAGCAAAGTTGACGTGATGCCAAGTTTACACCAATCTTTAAGAGTTTAAAAAGTTGACACCCTGCCAGGCTTCTTTGTCTTGAAACTTACAGTGCAAGGTGTGTGCCACTTGTTACATAGCCGGTAAACGATTTTGTTTCCATTGACTAAACAGAGAAGCTGTTCTTACACGGGCTTTCACCTGATTCTGATAAAATTGTTTGAAATAACCATTGTTAGAAATATTTCTACAGCCTTGATTAGAAGTCCTGAAATCCCAAGCAAATAAGAACTTCCTACAGGACAGCTGGGCACTATCCTGTGAATGCCAACAGCCTGACCTGGGCTGTAGCCTCTCCTGAAAATGTAGAACACACGTTGAACTTCAACAGTATTATTTTTTCTTTTGCCAGTGAAACCTCATTCCTCGTCTACAGATCGGTCTGTCTCATGACCCAGAGCCACATGAGTCCTTAAGAAATTTACATTTTTCAGGAAGTCTTGCCAAATTCTACAAGGCTGGGAAGATCTCTTCCCTTTTTTTAAAACCGCACGTAGTATGGACATTTTTCCAACTAAATCAGCAGAACTAAAACAGACCTTGCCACAAATGACATTCCTTTCTCAAAGGCAGTTGGTTGTATTACTTGTGGTGTTGCATCACTTTCTAGAACTACTTCTGAAAACAAATTTAAACTATATTTTAAAAAACGAAGGGATGGTGCAACTGTGCCATGTGAGCGTTGGGGATAATTTATCTGAGGAGTAGTTCTAATGCAACACTAAGTGAATTTTAGACTCCCTTTCTTATTTGTTAGCTTAACATCTCCCAGTGACAATGTTACTCTCCGTCACTGCACTCTATAATAATGGAGCAGAGAGTCTTGTTTATGCCATTAGTTTAGTTATAGGTATTAAAAAAAACGCTGTTACTGTACAGATGGGTGCCTGTCTTCAGGACACTGCTGAAGGGACTGGCAATACAAGAGCTGTTCAGCAGGCAAGGACCACCAGCCCAGGGCCAGCCAGGAGCAGGGGTGAGCACTAGCAGTGGTGGTGGTGGAGCACCCTCCATCCCTGCTCAGACACCCCCTTGGCCATCTGTGGAGCAAAGCAGGGCCAGCTGCCAGCCTGTGCCTGTCCCTGCCCTGGGCACCTTCCCGCCACGGGCGGGATGGACGGACACGGAGGTGATCTCTGAGCCGCTCTGCAACAAACAAGGCTGATATTAAAAGAGATATTCTGCTGATATTAAAAAGAGATTGTTTTAATCTAGCCTTTTCCTGTCTTCACCTGCTCCTGATACCCGCTTCCACCGTATTCTAGTGTAAAACGGGTAAATCACTTTTCTTTTAAATATTTAATTAAAAAAAACCCAAAAACAAACCCACGAAAGTTACGGTCTGGAACCATTTCTGCCAACTGCCTGCACAAAGCAAGATTTGTGATTTAGCACAAAGTGACTTTCATGAAGCGGTCTTGAGGATGAAACTCGCAGCCGGCACGTCCTGTCCACACCGGTGGTCTTCTTCTCCTGGACTTTTTTTTTTTCCCCTCTGAAGGGCAGGCCTGGCGAGGGGAGTCACACCGTCCTTGTGGTGTTCCTCCTGAGCCCTCTGCTGGAGCCTGCGCCACAGAGGCTGGGCTACCAGTTGGGAAAGGAGGAGGGGGTGGTAGGAAGGGTAAGAGTAGCACATAGATCAGGTAAGGATTAATTATGAAATAGATTTGGGGTTTTAGCTTTTCTTAGGTGGGTAGCAATCCAGTGTCCGTGTCACCACTGCCCATAAATCTTGACACAATATTAAGGTGACAAATGCTGCTTTGGCTTGAGCACTTGATCAGTCAGAATAAGGTCAGTTCTTCCAAAAGTTATAGAGGGGATATACTGCTTTGCCTTAGAAGTAAACAATGATCAACCTTCATTTACGTTACTAGCTGACCTCTGCTGTGATCTACAGAACGCTTGAAAAATTTTTAATAGTGCAGTTTTTAAGTACAAAGGAGGTATTTTCAGTGGCATGTTTTGCTTTTGTTTGCATTTGTAACCAAGAAGAACCAGCTTTTCTGCTTGTTGCTGGTATTACTATCAACTTGCGCTGCGACAACATAATCAACTAACTTGCAAGAATATCCATGTTCATCACATAGCACAGATAGAAGACAGGCTGGGAAGAAATAACAGAAAAAAAATAATCAGAATTTCTTTTCTCAGGGTTCTGTTTTTCTAGCAAGTGAGAAGATGGTATATATTGCAGATATTTTTTTTTTCTGGAGGTTGTTATCAGGTGTAGGGTGCACTCACTAAACTTGACAGCTGTTTAAAGTTGTTCCTGAAGTTCACCTCAGCAGTAGCTTTCAAAGGTATTTTGGAAAAATTTAAAAAAAAAAAAAAAAAAGCATTCCCCTGGCACTCAGGAGAGCAGGAGCCTGTGACTTGAGGCACAGGTGGAGCATCCCCAGGGTTGCCTTGTTGATGAGGTTGCCTGTTCACGCGGGTTCGTTTGTAGATCAAACTGCTTATCTGTGCTTTTAAAGGCTCAGCCCCTTGTGGCCTCTGCTTGCATCTCTGCTCTGCTTTCTTCTCCTTTTCCTGTACCTGCTGCTGATGTGCTTTTGTGCTGTCCCATCTTCCTCCCTGATCAAATGCTGGGGACGCCTGCCTTTGGCAAATGACCTCCTGGAATCCTTTCTGCTGAATGTGTATCCTCTCCATGACTTACTGGTATTGCTTTGCCATGGAGAAAAAAAAAAAAAAAAAAAAAAAGAAAGAAAAAAGAAGAGAAATCAGCTTAAAGCTAATTTAATTAATTTCATGAGGGGGCTGCGGAGTGTAACTGCTTCTCAGTGTACATGCACTGCGTAGGCTCTAGAAGAATTTGCTGTGGATTCTTTAAAACCTGTGTGCCAATTAGTTTAGTTTAACTTTGGTTTTGTGGTATTGAAGAATTCTTCAAACATCTGTGGTTTGATCAACTTCGTAAACCTGTACTCTGTAAAGTGCCATAGACTTTTTTTTTTTTTAAATTGTAGCATATTTAAAATATATATATAAATATATATACACAAACTTGTGTGAGATGTGCAATACCAGGAATGGGTTTTGTTGTGGTTTTTATTTTTTCCTTAGTTTTTGCTTTTAAACGAGAGATTTGAAAAGGGACTTCCCAGGGAAGAAGCGGCTGGAGTTTTGGTGATGTGGACAAACTGAAGACTAGAGTAATGCAATGGAATCCCTGATTTTGAAAATTAATACAACACGCCTAAATGCAGCTTAAAGATTTAACAAAAATCTTTTCTAGATTGATTTGAAATACTCAGATCTACACAATACAGATAATATAAATGTGAAGCTGTGTCCGTTTTCTGGCACTATACAATCTAAAAGCTGAAAAGGCTCAGCAAGGTTTCTTAATGTGCTTTATTTACAGTGTGGCACTGCAAAAAAAAAAAAACCATCGCTGCTGAGCTATTTCTGGGTTGTCTCTATCGCCTTTGTATCTTTGCTACTCAATAAAGGCCTCTGGCTTCTGAGAACTTTTTTTTCAGCCAAATCATTTCCATTTTGCATTGCTAATCCCGCATCAGGGAATCTGGCGTCCCGGTGGGGAAGGGGAGAGGAGGAGCTGAATTCCTCCTCCTGTGGGGCAGGAGGGAGCCCAACAAAACCAGAGCAGAGCAGGGAAGGCGGAGGCTGCGGCCGCTCTGCCCGGGGAGGGCGGCCGTGGCAAACCAGCTGGGGTGGGCTTTGAGCCATGGGTTATTTGTGGTACTGTGTTCCTGTTCTTGAGTCACCACTATGTACATTTGTTAGCATGAGTGATGTACCTAATGTGTTATTTTTTAATCTAAATTTCGATTAAAATGTGAGTTTTTCAAACTTCTGACGGGAGTCTGACTACCTTAATTCAAGCATACGGGACAGGTTGAGCCGCGGCAAGGTAGCTTTGATTGTAGCTTTAATAGCATTTAAGATCCCAGCCCACTGATGTTGTTAGCGTTTCAGATTTCCATCTTGATTTTTACCTATTATTACCACTTACTGATGAAAAAGTATGTGATCTGAAACTGTAGCTATGTATTATATAATACAGTTGCATTAAACAGACTTTCTAATTGAATGTACGTCTGATTGATAAATGTTTTTCGTTTTGCAACTAAAGCACCGCAGTTCCCTTCTCACGGAAAGGGGAAGCAGAGGGTCAGAACAAATACTGCTCAATCCCACCGACTTGTTTTAAAAGGGCATTTCCCACCACGTGGCTTCCCTTTCACCTGTGACTGGACAAACACTACTCTGATTGATGTTACCTACTTGTTCTCCAAGCAAATTTATGGCTCAACAGGGATTAAGGCTTTCAGCAGTTTTCAAATAAAAGCCAGGCTGTCGCCTTTGTCTCATAAGTTGCCATGGTTCATTTCTATTAAATTTACATATATTTGCCTTTAGTTTAATTACACTTCCAACAGTTTCTAAACTTCCAAGAAGTAGCTCTTCGTTAAAACTTGGAACATTTAGAAACATTCGGAAACCTTCAGTCCAGAAGAAGTTAGGGGACAGGTGACACTGAATGCACCACCACATGAGTTGCAGGTACTGATACAGCAGTTAGTTATTATTCTACAAATATAAATTACTGCCAAATGCAACTACAAAGAAGTACTGATTTGTATAGCTAAGAATATTGCCTGCCTTTTTCGGTAAGGTTAATGGCGCTGGCAATACAGAACACAGAGTTCAGTTCTGTAATAATCACACAATTAGAGATTTCTGTGTTCCAGCAACTTCTTCCCCAAGCTCCAGTTGGGTTTAGAAATGAGAAAGTGAATGTATTTTATTAATATCAGAGGGACCGACACATAAAAATGTTGTTTTGCTCTTGTGATTCCTGAAAGCTTGCTTTCAAATAGATGCCTTTTGCTGGATTTGTGGTATCTTCCCGTCAGTGAAATTCTCAGAGTGTGGCGATCGGTGTTCCTGACCAGCTTTAGGCATTGCTCAGATGCAAGGGGTTGGGGAATTTGGTCTAGCTGAGAACAGTAAAGAAAAAATAATTCCAAATTTCATCACATTCTTCAGACCACTTCCAATTGGTCTCTCCCCTTGGACAGAAAGTATCCCGCCCCTCTCTGCCCAGTCCAGCATCTCCACTCTTTTCTCTGGAACACCAAACCCACGTCTGTAGCACAGACAACAGCCCTGCGCGGCAAGAACGGCAACACCTGCTTTGGCACGGCCTCAGCGACTGCAGCTCGGATGGCACACGGCTGCTTAATTGGGCTATAAACACTGTAAAATCTACTTGCAGCAAATGTCAGCTGAGACAGTGGCAGAGCAGCTGATGCCACCGCAGCATCACCCATGGTCAGGGGCAGCTGGTTTTCAAAAGAGCTAGAAAGCTTCGGGTTGGAAGGGACCTTAAAGATCATGGAGTTCCAACCCCCCTGCCATGGGCAGGGACACCTCCCACCAGAGCAGGTTGCTCAAGGCCACATCCAGCCTGGCCTTGAACACTTCCAGGGATGGGGCATCCACAACTTCCCTGGGCAACCTGTTCCAGTGTCTCACCACCCTCACAGGAAAGAATTTCTTCCTGGTATCTAACCTAAATCTACCCTCTTTAAAAAAACTACTACCCCTCATTCTATATTGAGAGACAGCAAAACAAAGAAATTAAGATCACTGTTGTTTAATCACTATCTGTTCATCCAAGAAAAAGCACATTTTAGACAAGCTGTATATGTTTCCATTAAACAGCTGGACAATAAATTTATTTCCAGAGGAGAATGCAGGGCAGTGTGACCCACAAGTCATCCCATCAACACTTCCCATCAACCCATTCCCATCAACACTTCCCCCCCCAGCCCCCCACCTTGGTAGTGCATGACACGGTGTCTAGTTTAATCCTAGCATAAAGTTAAACTAGTATTCTGCTCCTGAGGTAAGAACCCTGAACCACTTCTTTTGTGGGTCCTTCTGATTTTTCTGCAGATGAGAATAAAAGCTACACTGCAGGCATAAAATTAATCTGCAGGGGAAAAAAAAAAAAAAAGTGCAAGCTAATTCTTATATATTTTAACATAGCGGAATGGAACCTAACGCACTTTTTTTTTTTTTAAATTATCTGATCCACTGTGCCTTACTACTGACCATAACGGGAGTGCTCCAGGTGCTTGCCCTTCCCTTGGCAGAAACACCTTCCCAGCAGCACCATTGGGTATCTTTAACCACAGTTCCCTTCCCTGTGCTGTTGTCTCTCTGTGTGTGCACGCCCTCCCAGCTTCCTGCTGACAACTTCTTGAGGAAAACGAGCCCCAGCGAACCAGAGGAATTACCTCCCCACAACAGCACTTAAACTGTGTAGTAATTCTAACCATAAAACAGGACTGGCTCGTGCTGCACAACTGTGCTTGCCACTGCCACCCTACATCTGTGCACTGCGAAGAAACGGGTCAAGCTGATGAGGAATTTCCCTACTAAATGATGTGTGCAAGTGTCTTCAAAAACTCACATCTGCCCTCTCCCAAAATAATCCTGACTGTCCTCAGAGCACTGTCCTCTCTATTGTGCATTTGCAAACGTCATGTTACACTGCTCTACAGGAAGCCATTTCACCCTTCAAAAAAAACCCAGTAATAAATCCAGTACCGGACAGGAGGTGTTACAGTTGATATTATTAAAAAAAAAAAACCACACCAAAAAACCAAACCCAAACCCAACAGACTGTGATGGTGCCTAAAAAACGAAACGAAAAAATCAAGACACAGCAGTGATATAGAAATGTCAATTTGGAGGCAGAAATTAGGAAAATAAACACTACCAAAACAACGCTGTTTTCAACAACTTCATTTTACTTTCAACAGTGTTTTAGGATTCACGTAATACTTGTAGAACTTCATTCAGTAATGACAGAACACATTTAGATTTTAACCCTCGTGAGTTTACAGCACAAGAAGGTGGGCTGCAAGTGTTTAAGAACGTTCTTCATAACAGTTGAGTAGATCAATTCTCCATACCTTAACGTATTATTTTGATAGCAGACATTTTGCTTCTCCATATCAGCAGAATTACAGCATTTACATACAGAATTATAAAAACCAAGTGAAACTTTTACACAGATCATCTGCCCTGCACGTTAACCTGACTGTTAGAAGAAATATCCCCATATTGGTCGAAACTATACAGAGCAAACACTCAGGAAAAAAGTTTTTTTTTTATTCTATTACACTGTGTTAATACAATAAATATACAAAACTTCTAAACTACTCAGACATGCAACAGAGGGACAGAAGTGCATTTGTACAGAACTGTGACATTCACCAGGATGGCAGAGCATTGTTAGTAATTTACAAAATATACAAACATCCCTCAGATAAATAAAACCAACTTCTAAATTACA